TCAGCCCCGCCTGCCAATGCCTTCATTTTAGTCCAGTGAAACCCAGTTTGGACTTGTGACCTCCAGAACTGTAAGACAATAAATTTATGTTTTTGGAAGCCAATGAATTTGTGGTGATTCATGACAACAGCAACAAGAAAGTAACACAGACTCACATGGAGGAGAGTGACAGGTGCTGCCTGAGGAGCATCCTTCTTTGCTGCTCCTCTTGATAAGAGGACACTTCACCAGAATAGTTAATATTTTTGCCCCTCCCATCCTCTTCATTATTCAAATTAAGATTCACACACACACACACACAACCACTTCCCGACACTGCTGTTATCAGGCACACCAGTGACCTCTGCTGGTGAATCCAAATAGCCGTCTTTCAGTCCTCACCTCTCTGGACTTTGCAGCAGCAGGTGGCCCAACTGCACACCTGCCCTAAAGGAAAGCCCCTTTAGACTTAATTACAAGACATCACACTTTCTGGGTCCATTGACGTCGCTGGAAGCCCCCTTGCTGGATGCTCCCCACCTCCCTGCCCCTAAATATCAGAGCAGCCCCGGACTCTTTCCTTCTTCAACTTTGTTTGGTGATCTCATCCACTACATTGGCTTCATCTCATCTAGTAGGCTGATGACTCCCAAATCCGTACGCCCATCTCCTCCTCTCTGCGACGACTTTGACCCAAAGGTATACTTGAAATGCCCATTCCCTGTCAAAACAAACAGAAAACTCAACATATTCAGACTGAACTTCTCCTTTTCTCCCCCAAATGTCTTCCTCCAATCATCTCCACCTCACTGATTGGAGCCTCCATTTTTCTGGCTGCTCAGTGCAGAAATCTAGGAGTCATCCTTGACCCCTTTCTGTCACTCTCACCGCACTCCCAATCCATTAGCAATTCTCAGTAGCCGTAACTCAGAATTCACCCAGAATCCTATCAAGCCCCACCCTCACGCCATCCTGGTTCCAGCCACCATCATCTTCTGCCTGGAACGTTTCACCAACCCCCTTTCTAACATCCCTGACACACACAGTCTCTCTGTGCACAGCAGCCAGAGGGATCCTGCGCAAATGAAAGTGGGATCAGGTTCCTCTTCTGCCCAAAAGTCTCCAGATGCCCACAGTGTCCTGGGGGTGCAGACGTGATGTGCACACACGCTGACTTCCCCAAACTCGTTTCCTGCTTGTTAGCATGGCCTCCCTCTGTCTGATCACACGGACTTCCTTGCTGCTGCTCCTTCATTTGCTGGTCATCCTGCTGTGTCTGACTGTTTTCACCTGCTGTTAACTCTGCCTGGTGGGCTCTTGGATCACACAAATTGCAAACTCTTGAGCCTCCTTCATGCCTTTGCTCAAACATCACTAACAAAACCACAAGCCAATCTATGGAATGGGAGACAATATCTGCAAATCATGTAACAGATAAGGGGTTAACATCCAGAATATATAAAGAACTCCCACAAATCAACAACAACCACAACAATAAACCTCTTAACAAATGAGTACAGAACTTGAATTAGACATTTCCCCAAAGAATATATACAAATGGTCAATGAGCATATGGAAAGATGCTCAACATCACTAATCATTGGAGAAGTGCAAATCAAAACTACAATGAGATATCACCTCACACCCATTAGAATGACAACTATAAAAAAAACATGTGTTGGTGAGGATGTGGAGAAATTTGAACACTTGTGCACTGTTGCTGGGAATGTAAAATGGTGCAGCCACTATGGAAAACAGTACGGAGGTTTCTCAAAATATTAAAAATGCAATTGCCATATGATCCAGCAATTCCACTTAGGAGTATTTATCCAAATGAACTCAAAGCAGAACCTCCAAGAGACGTTTGCACACTCACGTTCCCTGCAGCATTGTTCACAGTAGCCAAGAAGTGGAAGCAACTCCAATATCCAGTGACGGATGGATGGATAAAGAAAATGTGGTGTATACATAGATTGGGATATTATTCAATCTATTGGGATATTTAAAATGAAGGAAATCCTGTCACATGCTACAACATAGATGAACCTTGAGGACAGTATGCTAAGCGACATAAACCAGTCACAAAAAGACAAATACTGCATGATTCCACTAATATGGGGTGTCTAGAGCAGTCAAGCCCATGGAGACAGAAAGTAGAAGGGTGGTTTCAGGGGCTGGGGTGGTGGGGGAAGTGGGTAGTCAACGAGTACAGAGTTTCAGTTTTGCAAGATGGAAATGTTCTAGAGATCTGTTTCACAACTGTGCACTCAAGAATCGTTATGATGGTAAATTTGTTATGAAATTTTCACAACAAGAAATAAATAAATCCCAAGAGCACTCCACAAGCCATCTCCTCAACACTGTCTCTTCTCTCTACCCTGCATTTTCCCCAAAGCACACGTCTACCTTGCACATTCTATTCACTTATTTGTTGTTACCTTGTTTTTTTTTTTTTTACGAGTTTGGTTATCACCCTCTGCCTAGAAAACAACTTCTTTGAGCCAAGATTTTAGATATTGTTCATGATGGGTCTCTGCCACCTACAGTGCTCGTCACTCAGTAGGTGCTCAATAACATTTCCTGGAGGAATTGGTGAATGAAAAGGTGCATGTTACCCTGCTGTCAAAACCTTCCAAAAGCACCCAGTCACACTCCAAATGCAATAAATAAGTGAAAAGTGTGACATGTCCATCGGAGCATGGAGGATGAACAGGAAGGAATGAGTGGAAACAGGGAGGGAAGAGCTTGAGAGGAGGAACAGCCCATGCGGAGACCCAGAGGCACAAGTAACCTTGTTCTGGTTGATGACTATGAAAAGTCCAGTGTGGATGGAGTGTGACTGGGAGGTGGGGGGATTGGAGGAAGTGGCCTGGACAGTGGGGCTGGGATCAGGGTGAGGCAAGTGAGGGTCTCGTCCAAAATGAAAAATTAAAATGGGAGCCAAAATCCTCAGTAATTGAGATTAACAGTATTTGAATATAAGATTTTTTAAATCAAAACAAATGCAAAAAATCCCATGCAGAACCAAATTCAATACTTTAAATAACCCAGGATTAGTAAGAGTGCCCTTCTGGAACAACTGGAGTCTGAGGCAGAGGAAAAAATGTGTGCCTCCATATACATGACTTTATGTATTTTAATGGTCAATTTTCTCAAAACTTTAAAATGATTGAAATATTACTGAAAACATGAAAATGCTGTGTATTAAAACATTATTGTAAGTTTCAAAGGTTTTATGTGGACCCGAATCAGAATTTATTACAATTTTGATTTCATGCCTTTACTGGAAGCAAACACAGACAGAATATTTTCAAAATCTCCTTCTCTGCCTCTCTCGTTTGCAACTGAGAATGCTGCCACGTGTGACAATGTCTCTTGACCAAGTTATGATCTTAAATAATTATTAACTAACTTCATTATACTCATCCTACCGTTATTTAGATTTTTGATATTTCACTCATTGTGGATTTTTTTCATTAATTTTGATTTTTAAAAAATACTGCCTTAAAGTAGTACCTCAATGGCTGAGATTTTGGACACGTTTCTACGTTTTGTGTCTCAAACTAGTGCCTCACTCTCCTCACCCTAACCCTGGGCCTTGTGGAGACGTAGGTGCTGAGAGGCCAAAATATGCAGGGCTGTGGGCCGAGGAGTTGAGCCTTCATTCTCTAGGTCAGGGGTCAGCAAACTACATACAGCCCTGAGTCCAATCCGGCCCACGGCCTGTGTTTGTACATAAAGTTTTATGGGAACATAGTCATGCTCATTCATTTATTTATGGTCTAAGGCTGCATTCATGCTGCAAACGCAGAGTTAAGTGGTTGCAACAGAGATTCTATGGCCCAAAACCAAAAATATTTATTCTCTGGCCCTTGATATAAAAACTTTGCCGGCCTCTGCTGTAGATGATGGGGGCAAACAGATGTTCAAACGCAGACGAACTGAACAATGATGGCTTTTAGATGATCGCTCTGTGTAGGGCAAGGGAGATGAGGGGCAGGGAGATGAGGGGTCCAGGTAAGAGATCCTGAAGCCTGAGCAATGACGGGGGTCAAGACGGAGAGAGGGAGACTGATGTACCTGTTTCTAGGAGGAAAGTAGACAAGACATGGTGAATTTTTGGCTGTAGCAGAAGAAAGGGAGGATAGAGAGAAGGTGACTCCTCCATTCCTGACCTGAAGGGAAGAGGAGGGGCTGTCATGCTGTCAGCAAGATGAGGATCCGACTTGAAGGAATGAGGAGGAGGAGGAAATAAGGAGAGGAACTTTGGCCATACTGTGCAGGATAATCCAGGGAGTCACCCTGGGAGAGGTGTCCAGGCACAATGTTGAATGGAGAGAAGTCCAAGTAACTCACCTGAGAGACTGACACCGTGACAGTGTTTGCACCCTCCATGCCCACGTCACACACATCCTCTGCTGGCCTGGCCACTTTCTTCCTGCGGGACCTCACTCTGAGTGAAGAAACCAGAGAGCCTTTCAGTCTGGCCAGCTCAGGGTGCAGTGGGCAGACTGACCCCTCCTCTGTTCCCTCTTAGGGGCTGGAGGGGTGACTGAGGTGGAAGAGGTGTGGTCCCGTCCCAGAGACCCCAGGGTAGAGAACAGGCTCCTCCCTCCTGGACAGTGGGGCCCGGGGTTTGTGACAGACTCACCCGGGAGCCGGGACCTCCTTCCTGCCCTTGCTTCAGGCTCTGGACCCACGCAGTCCCCCAGCTCTGGCTTCAGGGATCCGTGGCTGCCTGCCCTTCCCACCCCAGGGCTCTCCCTCCCCCCCCAGGTCCCTGCTCACATGATGACGATGACACAGAAGGACAGGAAGAGCAGGGCTGTAGCACCTGCTCCCCCAACGGCCCCCAGCACCAATCCTGATAAAGGCCACACTTTTCCTGCAGACAGATTGGGTTGTTGGTGATTCCCCTCTGAGAACTCGGTCTCTTCTCCTCCCACTCCCTGTAGGGTCCCACATTTCTGTGTTCAGGCCACTTTGCCATGAGCAAGAACAGCCTCTTGGGCTGCAGGTGGGGTTTAGGGTGAGGAGAGTGAGGCATACAAGAGCTGAGTTGCAGCATATCTTTAATTAAAATGTTGTCATTTTGTTCTTTGTGAAGTTTATTTTGTATTTTTAATACACTTTTTTAAATAATCAATGGCAATATTATTTGTCTTGATTCCTGAGGTTTTTCGTTGCTCCTTAAGTTTTATGGTGAAGAGGAGAGTCTCACTCACCTGACCCTCGTCCCAACCCCCAAAGAAAGGGAATTGTGTCCCAAGACACACCTGTCCAGACCCCAGCCCATCTCCTCTAGGACCCACCTCCTTCCCTGGCTCCGCCTCCAGCCCTCGCCCCATCCCACAGCCCCGTCCCGGCAGGAAGAGGATAGTGACACTCTGAGTCCCAGGGAATTTCCGGGCCTCACAGCCGAGCACAGAGCAGAGCTGAGCTCCCCTCTGAAGCTCAGGGGGCTGCTGGGTGGACTGTGGGGTAAGGTGGGTGCTGTCCTCCTCCTCCAGCCCCTCCCCCTTCCACCGGTGCACTCACTCTGCAGAGAGAGGCTCAGGGAGACGTGCAGGGAGCCCCGAATGTGCTGAGCTTGGCAGGTGAATTCACCCTCATGCCCTGACTCCACCCGGGGCAGCTCCAGGACCCCGGGGTTCAAGGGCTGTGAGGGGCTCAGGGTCTGGCTCCCATGGGCCCAGCTCAGCCTGGCTGGGGGGTTGCTGTCGACAACACAGACCAGGCGCAGGGACTGGCCCTCTAGGACTGCAAGAGATGACCCATTCTTCAGGACTATG